ACCACCCCGATGTAACGACGCCAATTCCAACAATGGTCAGCAAAAACACAAACTTTCTGGCTTCTGACTCGCTGGCTTATCTGGGAAAGAAACTTTTTTTAGAAACTCTTAGCCGTTTCGGGAAGTTTCCTTTTATGAGCACTAACTTCCTCAGCTTGAGACGAGAGTACATGATCATCCTGTTCTTTCATGGGTATCTCTCCGTCATCGCCATTAAAAAAAAGAGTCTAAGTTGGTCATCTCAACGTCTAGATTTGGTCTGAATATCTTTTCGTCCATTACAATAGCATCAGTATTTGGCTCAAAACTTCGGTTCCAGAGAAATATAACTCTCAAACTTCTACCATCTAAATGTCTCTTGGCCGCTATGTGTGAAAGGCGCAAGAGTTGGTAAGGAAACTTATAGAAATATCCATGGTCAAGTCTGGTCAGAACGTTGGCATACCCCTCATCAAGGAGGTAAACACCAGTTGGACAATGGAAATCACATGTCAAACTACCAAACATATCTGAAGAAAGTTGTTGAAAAGCTGTCTAAAACTTTCACCCAGCTTGACCGATCCTCTCTCAGAATAGTAGTCGGTGTAGTAACCAAACACTGCCTTATTGTCTTAATGGAAATAATCCAATGAAATCGGAAATGAGGATCTCAAGGTTCAGTTGTAATTAAATGCACTCCTGTTTTCATTACTGCCATTAGACTCAGGGAAATTGAGTGGTTAAATGGCTCGAAAACTGAACACTCTGGAGGTCTGGACGCCTTTAAATTCATTGCTAATCATACAGATTACTGCGCCTCCGAAATGGTTTCCATTAGCTTCATCTCTTCCCACATTCCTTCAAGAGATGATTCGGTGGTTCGGAGGGAAGCAGTGAACTTTTACGCAGATGGACTAAAACTTGAACGCTGGATTGGTGTAGGTGTCCTCTCCAACAAAACTATGTTCAGGCTTCCGAACTGATGCAAAGACTTTTAGGCAAGAATATGTGGCTACCATTAAGGAAGCGGTCGATTCACTGCTGAAGTGTGTGACGTCAATTAGGAAGGTGAGCATATACATACTATGTTTTCAGTGGCCTACAAATCCCCAAGCTCCCAATGGCCAAGCAATTTCAGACCTTCCTCTCAACTACGCCGGAGCATCAGACTCATGTGGGTTCCGCGCCTTAGCGGCATTGCGGGAAACTGCGTGGCTGATGGTATGGCAAGGAAATTCAACGCCTGAGATATTATCATTGGATGGGGAGCAGCTGGAGATGCCTCTATTTTCTTGTGATTTACTCTTGCACTCTTGGGCCGAGTGTTAGCCCAGCGAGCGCTTGTTGACATGCGAAATTGCAAGATCCTTATGGACTAGGATTGATCGTTAACGGTCAAAGGAGTTACTAACGCTTGCAAAGCCTCAGCTCTCGCTGTTTGCGAGGTTCTGATTTACCTGACCCCTGCTGTAGCAGCTGCCAAGAGGATGATGAGGTGGCGTCATCTCAGCACTTTATATTAGACTTGCGAGGCTAAGCAGGGAACATTTTGGCTGGCACTTCCTGACTAAACTCGGGACCCTCTCTGGCATGGAAATTAGCCGCTTTCGTAATTTCATTTTCAGCTCCCGGGGTTTCGCCCACTAAACTTTTCTTCGTTCAGCTTTCCGTGGCATCACAAAGGACTATATCCTAAATCTCCAAGTGTGTCTCTGGTGTGTCTGGGTCAGCCATTATAACGTAGCCTAACCTAACCCTCTTCTGCACATACGCCTATGTTTTCGTTGCTGCCATATATACATATGTATGCAAGTAGAATTGTGTGGCTGCATATAAAAAAGATTACCTAGACACAAAATTGGCTGAGATTCAAAAATAAATTTTTGCAATCATTCAAGTGCATAGTCGTAAAACGCACACAAACAAAAACTCAGGTAAATTTTATGTTCAGTTGCTTTGAAAAGGAAATGCATTGCTATGTAGTGCCTCTCTGGTGGCGAAGCGCGAGCTGCGGACCAGTGAAAAGCGAAAGCAAAATTCTGATTTTCTATGTCACTTATATAAATCAGTACCACTGTGCGCGCGAATCGTGTTAGACGCTTTTCTATACGCGTTGTCTTTTTACATAGTATTTTTGCGCTGTTGTTGTTGCTGTTGCTGCTGCGGCTGCTGTAGTTATTATTATTATTATGATTAAAGATAGCGCTTGTTGTCGCTGCGCCTGCCACCCCGCTTAAGTGTGACATTCACAGCAACTCATCGACTGACGAACGGCAGCCACAGCGACAACGAGGCAACGTCAGACTCAGTTTAATTGTTTTTAATTGAAAATCGCATAAGACAACAACAAATAGTACAAAGAATAAGAGCAAATAGCAACGACAACAAACAAAAAACAACAGCAATAAAACGGTGGCGGAGGCGACGGCAAGAGCCACAACAGCTAAAGCAACAGTAGTTGCCGCGAGCGCGTACAATAGTCCATTCAATTATTAACGCGCCGGCAACGCGCGCCGCACAACAAACTACATTAATGAAAGAAACAACAACCACCACAACTAACAGGCTAACCTAATATTCGCGGCTTGCGTTTTGGTACGCACGCCGTAGAATTTTTTATTTTGCGTCACCCGAAAATGGCTTGCGTGCGTTTGCATTTGATTTCATTGAGCGAAATGTCAAATAAAAATGTCAGGCAGAACAAAAATTGGAAATTGAGTTAGCTTCATACGCGCGCCGTTCAATTTCGGTTGGTCGCATACAAGTTGTATGTGCATGAAAAATTTTTGACAGTAAATTGGCGGCGTGCGTGAATATTAGGTTAGCCTGTGAGGCGCTTGAATGCGAGTGTCAGTGTCAGCGAATGTGAGTGTCAGCGAATGTGAGTGTCAGCTGTAGAAGCGCCGCGGTGCGCGCTCCTTACATTTCGCTTGCCAAGCGCGCGTTGTGCGGCGGTATGAAGCGCAGTGAATTGGTTTTTAGCGCGTGACATTTAAAAACAAACCAAAAAATATGACAAAAGTGACAAGCGCAACGGAACGCGACATAAACAAAATCCAAATTTAAGTACCTCGTAATTACGGAAAACATTCAATATGCGAAAGAAACGCGATGCGTAGCTAACGATAAAGATAAAAGCACATAAACAAGAAAGCGCACATAAAAATCAATGCAAAAAGGTCAAGAGTGCGAAAACCTTAGGACGCGTACGCACGTACGCAAGCGCGCATGCACTGAAGTTTTCCTTAAACTTTACTGCTTTCTTACACAAAGTATGTATTTATGGAGTGCTGGCGCATCAATGCCGCCCAGCAGCGATAAACAATATCAGCGCTAACAGGCGCCACCAACGAATACAACGCCGCTGCTGACGACGACGGCACGCCGTAAGGCATATGCAAAGCGCAGCGCGCGCGCGGCTATCCTAGCCGAAAATTTTCGGAACACAGTCATTACAAGACAACAGTACGCGTTGGTTCGATTTTTAAGTGTAGTACGAACAGTATTTTTTGGTGAATTTGTGTCCATTTCAATTTTTTTTTTTTTTTGTGATCCGCGAAGCAATATCTTTGCTGCTCGACGAGTGCGTACATCATGCTACGCTACAGCACAAACGATGTGGCGCAGCGCGAACCGCATCACTTCGAAGAACAAATGGGCGAGTTGCGTCGCGAGTTGCAATTGGTGCGCGAAGCGTTACATCGCAAATCGCTTAAGTGTGCGATATTGCAACAGGAATTGGAGAAGAGTCAGTGCACCACATGCCATCAGCTATTGAGCGTCGTCGTCTCGACCGGCAGCAGTAGTAGTGATACGCTCGTCGATAATGCTGCAGCATGCTCTGCCAGCAATGGCCATACAGATGTCATAACGAAGCTGCACGCGGAATTGCAGCTTAAGGATGCGCGCCTTATAAAAAATCGTGATAAGATACGTTTTCTCTGCATCAGCATAGCGCGCTTGCAACAAGAATGTGCTAACAAAGATCAAACAGTAACAGAGCTGCAAAATGAATTGGACAAATTTCGACAAGTGGTGCGCCCACTAACGCAAGCCTTCTTGCAACACACCGCCGAAGGTTATGATGGCGCGCATGGTGGCGGCATGGAGTCGACGCGCATGATTGCCACCGGCAGTGAGCCGCGCATGAAGCGGCAGGGTTACAGCGCGGAGCCGCTCTCCGATTTGGTGGATGCGGACAGTGAGCTGATGAAGATACCCAAATCAGAACTGTAAGTGGCGAGGGGAAAGGGTGGTGATAAGGTTTGATAAGTTGCGCTGAGGGGGAAGGGAAATATACAAATATATTCAATGACTGCGATACTTTTCCATCCGCGTTTTTATGCAAACACTTTCTTATCCAACCAAGTATGTATAAGCGTTCTGTGCGCCGCCTCTTTTACTACATATTATTATTAATATTTAAATTGTTATTATTCTAACGCGCACATTTATTGTGTGGCACTTAAGCAACCAGCAATTTATCATTGCCTTGCACAAACGTACGTACATCTTCTAATTCTGGTTTCTCTCCTTTCTTACAGATCACGTGAACTCATCAAATCAGCCATATTGGATAA